AGTAGGAGTTGTGGTCGTCACGTCATGCTGTAGTATAAGGCTTACGATATCTGTGTTGCTAGAAGTAGGAGTTGTTGTCATGTTGTGGCATAAGGCTTATGGTATCTGTGATGTTAGAGGTAGGAGTTACTGTTGTCACGTCATGTTGTGGTATAAGGCTTATGATATCTGTGATGTTAGAGGTAGGAGTTGTTGTCATGCTGTAGTATAATGCTTATGCTATCTGTGATGCTAGAAGTAGGAGTTGTTGTTGTCATGTCATGCTGTAGTATAATGCTTATGGTATCTGTGATGCTAGAAGTAGGAGTTGTTGCCATGCTGCTGCTATCTGTGATGCTAGAAGTAGGAGTTGTTGTCATGCTGTAACATAATGCTTATGGTATCTGTGATGCTAGAAGTAGGAGTTGTTGTTGTCATGTCATGCTGTAGTATAATGCTTATGGTATTTGTGATGCTAGAAGTAGGAGTTGTTGTCATGCTGTAGCATAATGCTTATGGTATCTGTGATGCTAGAAGTAGGAGTTGTTGTCATGCTTATGCTATCTGTGATGCTAGAAGTATGAGTTGTTGTTGTCATGTCATGTTGTGGTATAAGCCTTATGTTATCTGTGTTGCTAAGGCTTATGTCATCTGTGATGCTAGAAGTAGGAGTTGTTGTTGTCATGTCATGTTGTGGTATAAGCCTTATGTTATCTGTGTTGCAAGGGCTTATGGCATCTGTGATGCTAGAAGTAGGAGTTGTGGTTGTCATGTCATGCTGTAGTAAAATGCTTATGGTATCTGTGATGCTAGAAGTAGGAGTTGTGGTCGTCACGTCATGCTGTAGTATAAGGCTTACGATATCTGTGTTGCTAGAAGTAGGAGTTGTTGTTATCTGCTGTAGCATAATGCTTATGGTATCTGTGATGCTAGAAGTAGTTGTTGTTGTTGTCATGTCATGCTGTAGCATAATGCTTATGGTATCTGTGATGCTAGAATAGGAGTTGTTGTTGTCATGTCATGCTGTAGCATAATGCTTATGGTATCTGTGATGCTAGAAATAGGAGTTGTTGTTGTCATGTCATGCTGTAGCATAATGCTTATACTATCTGTGATGCTAGAAGTAGGAGTTGTTGTCATGCTGTAACATAATGTTTATGGTATCTGTGATGCTAGAAGTAGGAGTTGTTGTTGTCATGTCATGCTGTAGTATAATGCTTATGGTATCTGTGATGCTAGAAGTAGGAGTTGTTGTCATGCTGTAGTATAAGGTTTATGGTATCTGTGATGCTAGAAGTAGGAGTTGTTGTTGTCATGTCATGTTGTGGTATAAGCCTTATGTTATCTGTGTTGCTAAGGCTTATGGCATCTGTGATGCTAGAAGTAGGAGTTGTGGTTGCGATGCTGTCATGGGAGTGTACTCTACCATTTTGTCTTTTTATGTAACAAACGATTAAGCTGTTAATGGTCTAAAAATAGCTCGATCGACCAGCACACCGACTCTAGAGGTTAGTTTTTATGTAAGGTATACGTGGGAGATACATCCCATGACGTAATCAATTAGTTCTACCAATCACTCGACTCTTGCGTCACCAAGTCTTACAGGAGTGGGCCTAGGAATAAGACAAACGGAAATAGAAAAACTGTAATGTTTTCATATCTCTCATAATAAAGCCTTTTTTGAATGAATTTCATATCTCGGATTTCCTTGTCTTAACTGGACAAAACGGGTAGAATGCTGACACTGGACATAAAAGAGTTCCACCCGATAAAACTATGAATGTTGAGAATATCCATTAAGAGTCCTGGTTTTCTTTCATTCAAAGCGTTGGTTGATGAGTGTTCTTCAATAGTGATTATTACATACCAACAAATCAATCTACCGACCATCTTACATACCGACACGTCAGTCAATTATATAGCGACCATCTTACACACCGACACGTCAGTCAATTATATACCGACCCTCTTACATACCGACACGTCAGTCAATTATATACCGACCATCTTACATACCGACACGTCAGTCAATTATATACCGACCCTCTTACACACCGACACGTCAGTCAATTATATACCGACGATCTTACACACCGACACGTCAGTCAATTATATACCGACCCTCTTACATACCGACACGTCAGTCAATTATATACCGACCCTCTTACACATCGACACGTCAGTCAATTATAAACCGACGATCTTACACACCGACACGTCAGTCAATTATATACCGACCATCTTACACACCGACACATCAGTCAATTATATACCGACGATCTTACACACCGACACGTCAGTCAATTATATACCGACCCTCTTACATACCGACACGTCAGTCAATTATATACCGACCCTCTTACATACCGACACAACAGTCAATTATATACCGACCGTCTTACATACCGACACGTCAGTCAATTATATACCGACCCTCTTACATACCGACACGTCAGTCAATTATATACCGACCCTCTTACATACCGACACGTCAGTCAATTATATACCGACCGTCTTACATACCGACACGTCAGTCAATTATATACCGACCCTCTTACATACCGACACGTCAGTCAATTATATACCGACCATCTTACATACCGACACGTCAGTCAATTATATACCGACCCTCTTACATACCGACACGTCAGTCAATTATATACCGACCATCTTACATACCGACACGTCAGTCAATTATATACCGACCATCTTACATACCGACACGTCAGTCAATTATATACCGACCATCTTACATACCGACACGTCAGTCAATTATATACCGATCCTCTTACACACCGACACGTCAGTCAATTATATACCGACCCTCTTACCCATCGACACGTCAGTCAATTATAAACCGACGATCTTACACACCGACACGTCAGTCAATTATATACCGATCCTCTTACATACCGACACGTCAGTCAATTATATACCGACCCTCTTACCCATCGACACGTCAGTCAATTATATACCGACCCTCTTACCCATCGACACGTCAGTCAATTATAAACCTACGATCTTACACACCGACACGTCAGTCAATTATATACCGACCATCTTACACACCGACACGTCAATCAATTATATACCGATCCTCTTACATACCGACACGTCAGTCAATTATATACCGACCATCTTACACACCGACACGTCAATCAATTATATACCGACCATCTTACACACCGACACGTCAGTCAATTATATACCGACCCTCTTACACACCGACACGTCAGTCAATTATATACCGACCATCTTACATACCGACACGTCAGTCAATTATATATACATACCGACACGTCAGTCAATTATATACACACACCGACACGTCAGTCAATTATATACCGACCCTCTTACATACCGACACGTCAGTCAATTATATACCGACCCTCTTACATACCGACACGTCAGTCAATTATATACCGACCCTCTTACATACCGACACGTCTGTCAATTATATACCGACCCTCTTACATACCGACACGTCAGTCAATTATATACCGACCCTCTTACATACCGACACGTCAGTCAATTATATACCGACCCTCTTACATACCGACACGTCAGTCAATTATATACCGATCCTCTTACACACCGACACGTCAGTCAATTATATACCGATCCTCTTACATACCGACACGTCAGTCAATTATATACCGACCCTCTTACATACCGACACAACAGTCAATTATATACCGACCGTCTTACATACCGACACGTCAGTCAATTATATACCGACCCTCTTACACACCGACACGTCAGTCAATTATATACCGATCCTCTTACACACCGACACGTCAGTCAATTATATACCGACCCTCTTACACACCGACACGTCAGTCAATTATATACCGATCCTCTTACACACCGACACAACAGTCAATTATATACCGACCATCTTACATACCGACACGTCAGTCAATTATATACCGACCATCTTACACACCGACACGTCAGTCAATTATATACCGACCCTCTTACACACCGACACGTCAGTCAATTATATACCGACCCTCTTACACATCGACACGTCAGTCAATTATATACCGACCATCTTACACACCGACACGTCAGTCAATTATATACCGACCATCTTACGCACCGACACAACAGTCTATTATATACCGACCATCTTACACACCGGCACATCAGTTAATTATATACCGAATTCACCAAACCGTCTAATGTTCTCTATCTTAACAGTGCGTTTTATACTAACTTAAATCATGATAAATCGATATAATTAAATGACTAGTACACAAACTGGTGTCCCACTCACATAATCACAAACATCCACAGCTATTCAGTCGTGGATCAATGTATCTCTTTTTAGAAGCTGTCAATATATGCATTTAAATTACAAATGCACGAATATATTTTTGGCATTGACTTTTTATATTTATTTTTTTCTGATATTTACCTGTTAACGGCAGATCGATATTGTCATACCTGGTTGATATCCTACAGTTTACCAACTCTACAGTAAATAGTTCAGGTCCCGATCGTTTGGCATCGTTCTCCAATTGGATTAGGTTGTGGAGAGGGAGGTAAACCGCCACGGCGCTAGCATGATTGATATTCAATCATAGACCCATTTGTGTCTCAAGTTCTTTACAAGCAATGTAAACACTTCTCCCTCTCAACGTATTTAACTTTAAAATAAATTTGTATGCGGGTGATTATCGACTTTTCAAAAGAGAAATACTTAATTATATCAGGGGAGTCATTATGTAGATGCCAGGGCCTTATGTGTTAACCGTACACACGCCTGCTGTGTTGTCGTTTAAACAACATTAGTTGCATGTCAGACATACAAGTAAGTCAAGAATCGCCAACAGATGTTTATAAGCACGTACAGTGTCCCCAACGTTTTCTTTGTCGTCAAATATGCTTTTTTCGAACAAGAAAGAAAGTAAATGTGAATGGCAATTATCTATGAGGAATATGTAGAAGAGAAGTTTTGGCTGTCAAGGCACGCAGACGTCTGAAGCTTACACCAACTCTAAATCAACTGAGAAACAATGGCGACACCAGAAACTGTTGACAGCATTTTGGACGTAAGTATCTCGCTTGTATAGTAACCAGGGTTCATGTTCAGGGAGGTGTCGGAGTACAGGGCGTTAGAGAATGCCGGGGTAGAGAGGTCAAAAATGTCGGGGTATAGTGACAAGGGCATGAGAGAATGTCGGGGTAGAGAGGTCAAAGATGTCGGGGTACAGTGACCAGGGCATGAGAATGTCGGGGTAGAGAGGTCAAAGATGTCGGGGTAGAGTGACCAAGGCGTGAGAGAATGTCGGGGTAGAGAGGTCAAAGATGTCGGGGTACAGTGACAAGGGCATGAGAGAATGTCGGGGTAGAGAGGTCAAAGATGTCGGGGTAGAGTGACCAAGGCGTGAGAGAATGTCGGGGTAGAGAGGTCAAAGATATCGAGGTACAATGACCATGGATGGCGGAGTACAGTGACCAGGGATGTCGGGTCCAGTGACCAGGGATGGCAGAGTATAGTGACCAGGGCATGTTCAATGGGTGTCCGAGTACAGTGACCAAGGTATGAGAGAATGTCGGGGTAGAGAGGCAAAATATGTCAGGGACCAGTGACCAGGGATGGCAGAGTATAGTGACCAGGGCATGTTCAATGGGTGTCCGAGTACAGTGACCAAGGTATGAGAGAATGTCGGGGTAGAGAGGCAAAATATGTCAGGGACCAGTGACCAGGGATGGCAGAGTATAGTGACCAGGGCATGTTCAATGGGTGTCCGAGTACAGTGACCAAGGTATGAGAGAATGTCGGAGTAGAGAGGTCAAAGATATCGAGGTACAATGACCATGGATGGCGGAGTACAGTGACCAGGGATGTCGGGTCCAGTGACCAGGGATATAGGGTACAGTGACCAGGGATATCGGGTACAGTGACCAAGGATATCGGGTACAGTGAGCAGGGATATCGGGTACAGTGACCAGGGATATCGGGCATAGTGACCAGGGATGTCGGGTACAGTGACCAGGGATATCGAGTACAGTGACCAGGATGTCGGGTCCAGTGACCAGGGATATAGGGTACAGTGACCAGGGATATCGGGTACAGTGACCAAGGATATCGGGTACAGTGACTAGGGATATCGGGCATAGTGACCAGGGATGTCGGGGAACAGTGACCAGGGATAACGGGTATAGTGACCAGGATGTCGGGTACAGTGACCAGGGATATCGGGTACAGTGACCAGGGATATAGGGTACAGTGACCAGGGATATCGGGTACAGTGACCAAGGATATCGGGTACAGTGACCAGGGATGTCGGGGAACAGTGACCAGGGATATCGGGTATAGTGACCAGGATGACGGGTACAGTGACCAGGGATATCGGGTACAGTGACCAGGGGTATAGGGTACAGTGACCAGGGATATCGGGTACAGTGACCAGGATGTCGGGTCCAGCGACCAGGGATGTCGGGTACAGTGACCAGGGATATCGGGTACAGTGACCAGGGATATCGGGTTCAGTGGCTTGGGATATCGCGTACAGTGACCAGGAATATCGGGTACAGTGACCAGGGATATCGGGTACAGTGACCAGTATTCCCTTTTTCTACTGTTTTCTCTTATCCATGCCTACGTATGATATAAACGTACATTTGGTTGACTATATTTACCGTCAATGGTACAGGCAGGGCGGGAATAAACCACAGGGGACTCCCATCATTATTAGGTTTTTAACTCCAATTTCATACCCTCCACTCCTTGAGCTAAGGGCTTACACTACGGTGTAAGCGCCTGACAATGTAGACCGCTGCTTTGTCACATAGAAATAGCAACGTACTATTATATTTATTTAATTCTGATATTTTATTTTCATCACATTTCAAAGTCAACAACTTTAGCCTATTCTTTTGTCGACGATTCCTGGATGATTTTATTTACCTTAGAGTATTTTAGATGCGAGACATGTATCTTCCGACATTTTAAATGATACAGACAGGAACTAGTTGCTATGAGTTTCCTTCTTCCGTCAAGATTTAGACACATCTTGCAACAATCTGGCTTTTATGAGCGCATACTTACTGGGAGCAGGACAAAGTATTGACTATTACAATATTCTAGCTGTGTTGTCATTTAAATATCGTATCGCATGCTTCTAAAAAACACCGTTTCATGAATCCATAAAATGGGACCTGGAAAACGTAAAAAAATGAAATATTTGTACCGTGATCTTTTTTATGAACAAGAATGGCGTTTTCTCTGAAAAGTTATGTCACTGCCTAGCATAAATTTTTGCTTCTCTAGGGATTCTAAATGAGTGAGTAGATGTCTGAGAATGGTCTCTGTCTATTTACCAGTAAATGGCATGGATTGCTAGGCTGTCGCGAATTGTACAGTTTTTGATATGTTGGTTCCGTGATGGTTACCAGTCTAAGAAACCTGCCCAGTAATCACCTCGTTTCCCTTGTTTCCTGCATTTCCTTGAATTTGCTTATCAATGTAGACCACAGTGTGTAACAATGGCGTGACAACAGGTTATCGAGTGAATCAGAACCATACCACATGTGGCATGACCAGTCGTTTTACTTTTCAACGTCCACAATTACTAAGGACAAGTTTTGTTTTATAAGGAAGAAGTTCTAAGTTGTACGAATTCGGGCCTGGGACAATGGCTCGGGCTTGGAATAACATTGTTTTATATATTTACATTCATGTGCGAATTCCCACATTTAAAGCTACCAGACAGAAGCTATCAGACTGTAAATATCATTGCTCTTTATCGTATTGTCTTGAGCACAAATAGACCAGCTACATTTTAAAGTGTCTCCTTCCTTCTTCTATAACAGGAGACTATTTATAAACATGTGTCGTTTAAGTTTGACCTCAGAAGATTGAAACACGAATACCTGAATTATAGCACAATGGGACGAGTATTGAATAGATGTAACAGTGATCCAGCCTACACGCGACATCTTATAGACATAATAGAGTTTCGTAACGGTCGGATCAGGAACAAATCTATTTAGAGCGACACATCTAAGGGTCACGTGCGTGGATATACGAATGTAGGATATGTCATTTCCTTGTCGACTCTCCGGAAAAAGCTAAGAAACATTTCTTTTAAAAGTCCGTACACAATCCCTAACAGAACAGACATAAACAGGAAATTCATATCAATTCTTACCAGACAACATGTATGTACCCCATCCCGAACAGAATAGCCATAAACAGGAGATTAATACCATTTTTACCAGACACATGTATGCACCCCATCCCGAACAGAACAGAAATAAACTAATAAAATAAGATTCTCGGTTGGCGAGACTTGCACGAGATTTGGGAAGATTACATAGATAACAATGACAATAAACATCAGTATGGATTTGTAGTTTTCTTTATCTGTATTTATCTATTTTATTTCTATTTTTATTATTTTATCTGTTATTTGTTCGTCACGGAGTAAAAACGTTTCGGAGCCCCAATATGTTGCGTGGCCCGTAGAAAATTGATTTCTACCAGTCGTGTTATGATAAAACATTAACTCTGGCGAGGAAATCTCGTTCGGATAAGCTTTGAGATATAAATTGTGCTCGTAAATATTCTTAAGTGTCGTTCTCGGGTGTTCATCAGCAAGTACGTCTTCCCTTGTGAAGCATCTGCGTATCTTTAGTCCTGTAATATACTGTCGTGTATTCTATGAGAAACGAAATCAGTGTCAGGAACCAGGTTACGATTTGTATATATAATATATATATATAAGTTTGAGTGATGCGAGTTGAAAAAAATATTGAATTGCCGTTTGTTGAAGGTCACCTTTGCCATGATACATGTAGGCAAGTTTCTTTCCTTGGTAAAGACAGGACTGTCCCCATCTGCTGTAGACAGAATCTGACAGTTATATAACTGTGTGTTCAGACAAATCAATCACCGCTTGTCAAACAAATCCCCACACTCCCGACAACTGTATGTATATGTGGCAGTCTTTCATCCGTTATACAGTAAAACACGGCACATGGCATTTGAATCAAGTAATCGTCAGGTTGCAGATTGCCTAACGAGCCGTTCAAATTTACCAGTAATAAACAAAACTTATGAATGATTTTAATCGTGTATTGTTCCACACGATTCTCAACAAAAAACCAAGTCAATGTAGGTACATGAAATATGGATGACACAGAAGATAGGGTAACCTTGTGTTGGCGGTGTGATATGTGGGTTTGTCCCTACAAGACCTGTCTTCTGTCGTCACGGGGCGACACTGGCCCCGGGACAGAGGGTCGCGCCAGACAGCGACATGAGACACAATCCGGGTCACGGAGACGTTTATTCTAACGGCGCAGAGCTCGCCAATTTACAAAGTAGTGCTGATATCAAACTGGTTAAGAGATTGGTGACGCCCCACGGGTTCAAAGGAGGTCGAAAAGGTAAAAATGGAGTCTGTTTTTTTTATTTATTTATTATCGGATCATCGTTTCCGGTAGAACTATCATTGTACTGCATACAAACATACGATACTATTTTCTGTTGAACGTTTGTGTTCACTGTTATTTCCTCAGTATAGAAAAACAAGACACTGCTGTTTCTAAAGCAAACAAAGTACTAACGAACATTATAATACAGTATTCTCATAATAATGACTCAAAATTCAATAAATTAATCATGGATGCTGACTCTGTCCTAGAGTTGTATATGATTTAAATCGTGTATTTTTAAACGGTAATAAAACAAACCATAACCTGCAGCAAATCTTCGGTGTGAACACATCCTTTTTCGCGATTATTCGCAGTAAACAGCTAAAAAGATTAAATGTTGCGTATCTCGTCAAATTCAAAATGCCACTTGCTTGTTGTCAAGCGTAACGTCATACTGTAACTACCCTACGTCAAACACTATGCTCATGTTTCCCGCACTTTTTCACACTTTGATATTTGGATCATTTATATAATTCCGTGTATCATGGGTATATCCACCACTCAGATTTATCTCGTGTACATCCACCACTCAGATTTATCTCGTGTACATCCACCACTCAGATTTATCTCGTGTACATCTATCACCCAGATTTATCTCGTGTACATATACCACTCAGATTTATCTCACGTTCATCCACCACTCAGATTTATCTTGTGTACATCTATCACCCAGATTTATCTCGTGTACATATACCACTCAGATTTATCTCACGTTCGTCCACCACTCAGATTTATCTTGTGTACATCTATCACCCAGATTTATCTCGTGTACATCCACCACTCAGATTTATCTTGTGTACATCTATCACACAGATTTATCTCGTGTACATCTATCACTCAGATTTATCTCGTGTTCATCCACCACTCAGATTTATCTCGTGTACATCTATCACCCAGATTTATCTCGTGTACATCTATCACCCAGATTTATCTCGTGTTCATCTATCACTCAGATTTATTTCGTGTTCATCTATCACTCAGATTTATCTCGTGTACATCTATCACTCAGATTTATCTCGTGTTCATCTATCACTCAGATTTATCTCGTGTACATCTATCACCCAGATTTATCTCGTGTACATCTATCACCCAGATTTATCTCGTGTTCATCTATCACTCAGATTTATTTCGTGTTCATCTATCACTCAGATTTATCTCGTGTACATCTATCACTCAGATTTATCTCGTGTTCATCTATCACTCAGATTTATTTCGTGTTCATCTATCACTCAGATTTATCTCGTGTACATCCACCACTCAGATTTATCTCGTGTTCATCTATCACTCAGATTTATCTCGTGTACACCAGCACTCAGATTTATCTCGTGTACATCCACCACTCAGATTTATTTCGTGTTCATTTATCACTCAGATTTATCTCGTGTTCATTTATCACTCAGATTTATTTCGTGTTCATTTATCACTCAGATTTATCTCGTGTTCATCCACCACTCAGATTTATCTCGTGTTCATCTATCACCCAGATTTATTTCGTGTTCATCTATCACTCAGATTTATTTCGTGTTCATTTATCACTTAGATTTATCTCGTGTACACCAGCACTCAGATTTATCTCGTGTACACCAGCACTCAGATTTATCTCGTGTTCATCTATCACCCAGATTTATCTCGTGTTCATCTATCACTCAGATTTATTTCGTGTTCATCTATCACTTAGATTTATCTCGTGTACACCAGCACTCAGATTTATCTCGTGTACACCAGCACTCAGATTTATCTCGTGTACACCAGCACTCAGATTTATCTCATGTACATCCAGCACTTACATTGATCTCTTGTGCATCACCTCTTCTCTCCGATTAACCCTGTGTTTACGAAAAATGGTTTACAAGCAGTCTAGTGTCTGATGATACAGTCTGCACACTTCCTATTGTGCGTTCCCTTTCATCGTCATTTTCTATACAAACCAAATAATTGCTTAAGTGATTCTATTTAACTGATGGCCCGGAGGCCGGTATGATTATTAATATGATTCTCAATACAATAAGATACCTTTAAACTATAAGTCGCACTAACCCTGGTCATGCGTTATAATAGGGTTTTAATTAACACATTTGAGACTTGATTTACCGATAATGAATTATAATATCCTGGTGTGTGGTCTGGTTAGATTGTGTGTGACTTATATGATACATATCATTACATACCAAGTGATGCTCCTGTTTACACTTCATACAACAAATGTAAAATGTACCAGACCGAGGAGTTATGTAGACTTCGTTGTTATCAGGTGATAACCTGCTTATCAGATCAGATCTGTGCGTCATGCAATTTGGTTATCAGGTAAATTTAGTACGAAGGTCTTGAGGTGAGTCTATGACGTCAGGTATAAAGTATCCTAAATGTTGGGTATACATAAGTGGTGAGATAAGAACATTCCTGTTTCCAGCGAAGCCGAATTGTAGGTAAAAGGGACAATGGTTATTTGGTAATAGGTATTCTAGTTATCAGGTAAAAATCCCTGATGATAAGTATGAGGAGTCCCGAGATGGTAAAATCACCCTGGTCGTCAGATATAATTAATACATCATATTCCGAGTTGATAAAATCACCCTGGTTGTCAGATATAATTCATACAACATATTCCGAGTTGATAAAATCACCCTGGTTGTCAGATATAATTGATACATCATATTCTGAGATGGTAAAATCACCCTGGTTGTCAGGTATAATTCATATAACATATTCCGAGATAGTAAAATCACCCTGGTTGTCAGATATAATTGATACGTCATATTCCGAGATGGTAAAATCACCCTGGTTGTCAGATATAATTCTTTCAACATATTCCGAGATGATGAAATCACCCTTTTTGTCAGGTATAATTCAAGTGTTGGGACACATCATAGCCGCCAGGAAAAATTACGGTCGTCAACTGAAAAGTAAATACGCCACCAGGTAATTAGATAATTTGTATCCTTGTCGTAGAGTAAAACATCATTGTTAGGTAAAATGTACCCTGGATGTTAGGTAAAACCTACTGGTCGACAATGATACAAGTGTGCAGAGGGACGGATATTCGCCAAATATGAAAAAAACACGATAATGGCAACGAAACATTGAGGACTGAACTAATGTTTTCAAGGTGTTATGGTTGACTTACAACAAACAACAACCCGGGGTGAAAGTTGAAATAAACACTTGTAATTAGAGCTTACTTAAAAACAACACAAAAACTCTAATAAACTCCAGTCTTTGAATAGCTATTACACCAAGAGCTACATGTATGTTGTCCATAGCAACATAACATAAAGTTAAATAACCAATAAGACTATTTGTCAGGAACTGTATTGATAGGATCAGGACGAAGGGAAAGCGTTTTCAAATAGTAAAGGAAATTACTCATTACAAAGCAGTGTTACGGTGAGTGAATTAACAAGCCCTATAGGTCACTGTAATGAGATAGACATGATTCATACTGCAGTTTTTATTTTTTTGTGAAGACAATTTATCAGAAACAAGTTCCGTCAACATGAAAATTTTATGCGCCAGATCTAACCATGAAAATAGTTTGTCACAATAGGACAGGTAGAAATCGATTGTGTTGTAAATACATTAATAACTATTGGGATGTAGACGACAAATTCCAATCATTTGCTAATTCACCATTGTCTAATAAAGTGTCAGGTGAAGTTTCGGATTTCAGGGGCTCACATTTTGATATAATTCACAGTAACAGCACAGATTTCAAGCATGTTATGAGTTAGAGTATTATCTCGTTAACAACATTGTTATTTAACACTGTCATGCTGAATTTTTTAAAAAATAATTCTAAAATATAGAAAAGAAAAAAGTGAATCATAGAATTCCTTAGAAACTAACACTGTACATAGAGATTTCTGCAAGATAATACTGATTGAGTAATATGGTACAATCCATTTTGTTTCTGTAAGCAGGCAAGTACTGAGGTGCCATGTAAATACTTTTATTGTGTTTACTTTGAGACGTGTTGCGTCATCCCATACACTAAACATAAAAATATATTTAATGCTCTCGGCTTCTAACGGTGATATGGATGACTGCGTAAATGGATTGGTTACTCATGCGTGTAAAATGTAAACATTTTAACACAGCATGTTGGATTTGTATGTGTATTGTCAATCTTATGTGCTTTTGCATACGGAATGAAATAAAATTGAACTTGAATCTTAGTCAGACGTCGCCACTGACAACTGATCGAGGGAATAATTGACCACGAATAATTAATCAGAACCGTATAATTGGGTTCTATATTTAATCAAAGGTATGATTAAACACCGATTGTGTGTATATATATATATGTATGTGTGCTTACACCACTGTTCAGATGTACACTAATCGGTTTAATTTGTTTACAGATAATATCAACTGATTTCACAAGTAATATGGTTTTACATGTGTGTGTGTATATATATATATATGAAACACACCTGTCCTTCGTTGGTAGTCTGTTACAGGGTTTGAACTCTCAATACCGTCTATACCTGGTGACAGAGTATTTTTTGATGATAGAGTGAAAGACGTGTTTGCTATTGCTACAATCCTTATCAGGTATAACATTATAATGTACACAATATGTTGCAATGTGTATATCTACCGATTTATGATTTCAAAGGCATACACGTGTATAAATGCAGATGTTCTCTGTGATTGTAACTTAAACATACCAAACATTGGTGTGTTCAGCTGTGTTTTGTCACATTTTGTAGGTCCTTTTGTAGTCCATTCTAGAACAAATATACAGTTTAATGGCTGATTAAGTATGCATGCAAATATGCCAGCGCGATCAGATGTTCAACTAGACATAAAAACGGCACATAATGCGGATAATGACAATAACCCCGCAATACAATAGCCTTCATTGATATTCAAAAAATCTTATATCAGTCAAATCTTCAGAAATGAATCCGCACAAAAACCTCATTGTTGTAATATGTACTTCATTTACCTTGCGGTCTGTGTTTGTGTATATAATGAAATAATTGGTGAAATTCACGACTTATCCAACAAGTGAAATTATGTACGGAACCAACAGAGCGCGGCTTATGAAGGCGGAGTTACGTCCCCTTTCTCCCGTATCCACTAATGTAAGTAATGTATACGTATTGTGTCGGTGGTGTTTGCTTTCCCAACGGCCACGGCATGCTTAATGGCAGATATATGTTGAGTGGGTGAATACCTTGCGTGTTACCGGAGAATGTTTATTGGGCACACTGACAATAGTCGAGCTGTAGGTGTCACTCATAATATCGACAATCAATTTGTATCTGAAAGGGGCTTTTCTAGTAACGCTCTATTGATTTACATAAATATTTTGCCATTACTAACAGGGTTTCAATCTTTTCTTTCCATGTTCGTTGTTTGGCCGTGATTGTGCTCCCACTCCAAAGATGCCGTGTTCGTGGCGGGAATATGTGGCTAACGTTTTCCTGGAGAGCGGACATGTCAACAGGGCGGCTATTGTAGGACAGGACGGCCGACGTTGGGCGGCATCACCAGCATTTGATGTCACATCCTCGGAGATTCAGGCTATTCTGGACGGGTTCGTGGATCCCTCTTCCATACGGGCGTTAGGGATTAGTCTAAGCAACAAACGGTACACATGTACCCGTCAAGACAGCACGGTGATGGTAGGTCGGGACAGTGCAACAGGGTTTGGCTGTGTCATCTATAAGTGTAAGTCATGTCTCCTTATAGGTGTTTATGAGGAATCAGGCCACCCGGGTGGGTGCTACAGCATGTTGGTCAAAGTTGGAGACTACCTGAAGGATCAGGGCTATTGACAACTATTGAAAACACCAGTAAGATAGCTGTACACAGGGATGATATCTTAAAACAATGACATACCAAATAGCTAAGGTACCAATAACACTGCTTTGTATCAGGTCAGAGATTCCCGAAGACAGCCAGCAAATGACAATGGGAACCAAATCATGACCATGACTGGTAGTGTTTAACCGGAGGCTGCCATGGACCTATAGTTCCCAAAAAACTAGGTCGGATAGCAAAAGTTCCCAGAAACTTTGTCTTTGAATAAGTGTTTCTCGAGAAGATGTGTTGGATCGAATGTTCCCGGAAACTTGGTAATGGATCACTATTTTCAGGAGGCTACATGACGAACCAGTGTTCCTCGATATAGCTTCGACCAGGTATTCCTTCGACTATATCAAGAAAATCCTGGAAACCATTTTACAAACTATTTATTCACGTAAACCCAATGCCTTTATAGACTGTAGGTGGAGGTAATTACACAACATTAGTTGAGCGTTTGACATCACGCCCGGTTGGTCTAGGCAGGAAAACAACGCCCGAGATGAAGACTAATTACATGAAGGCTAATGGTGGGTAATGAGACATGATTGCAGGAGATGTCAAATCAAGCGGATGAAAACATGGCGTTAAATCAGGCGTGCTGAAGAAGAAAACCGAATACCAATTACTCCATGGTGTGACATTATGCCATACAGTTTCGTCGTGTGATACTGAAGTCAGTTTAATGTCTGATTGTCTGCGGTTCTGGGACGTGTGATTTTGTGATGCTGAAAGGTATAACGGAGTGAGATTTAATTAACTATAATTTCACAACCAGTGACGAGAGGTGAAGCTCATTACGTTTATGATCTTGTGTCTGGGGGTATGTTTTGTGTGGGAGTTGAAACCAAGTAACCTTTTCGTTTTCTGCCACCTCAGAGTGGCAAATTCACAAATACACGGACACAGCGAAAAATAGCTGCCACCAACAAATCTATGCTTGCTATTAAGATACTTACATCGCCAACAAGTGAATTGATGTATAGATTTTAATATTAGGAAGTGGTATTCTGAAAAAAAAATCACAGCTGTTGACACGTTCTTAGTGGTATTCTGGGTAATTATAGCCGCCGACACGTTCTTAGATGGATTTACTGTGGTATTGTGGGTAATTATAGCCGTTGATACGTCGTAAGATGGATTTACTGTGGTATTCTGGGTAATTATAATCACTGACACTACCTTAGATGGATTTAGAGGGGTATTCTGGGAAATTATAGTCGTTGACACGTCCTTAGATGGATTTACATGGGTATTCTGGATAATTATAGCCGTTGACACGTCGTAAGATGGATTTACTGTGGTATTCTGGGTAATTATAACCATTGACACTACCTTAGATGGATTTAAAGGGGTATTCTGGGAAATTATAGCCGTTGACACGTCCTTAGATGGATTTACTGTGGTATTCTGGGTAATTATAGCCGTTGACACGTCGTAAGATGGATTTACTGTGGTATTCTGTGAAATTATAACCATTGACACTACCTTAGATGGATTTACTGTGGTATTCTGGGTAATTATAGTCGTTGACACGTCCTTAGATGGATTTACAGGGGTATTCTGAGTAATTATAGCCGTTGACACGTCCTTAGATGGATTTACAGTGGTATTCGGTTCAATTATATTCGTTGACACGTCCTTAGATGGATTTACAGGGGTATTCTGGGTAATTATAGCCGTTGACACGTCCTTAGATGGATGGGTTCTAAAACTCTGCAATGACGGTGTTGTGTTTAGTTACCAATGATACCAAAAATAATTCGGATTAAGTTATGTTGACAAATTCCAGAATTAAAAAGTACACGTATCAATAGTAGACAGTGGTATTATAGGAAACATTAAATAGTAAAACAGAAAATTATATTTTGTTACAGAAAATTATACCCAAAACGTCTACCTTTACTGGACATTGTTCAGTCGGCTTACCTAACCATTAAAAAGGACAGGCTACTTAATCAACAGACGGTGATTCACAATACCCTTCTATAAATGATCAGATATGATCCAAATTAATTATCGCCAAAGACATTTCAACTTAATTAACCGGAAATAAATAAATGATAAATTCTGAACGAATTTTGAATTAAATTTATTAACGAATTAATGACGATTTGACAATTTGTGTAGAAGTTTTCATGTATGTGTATGTATGACGGTCAGTATTAAAATAATGGTTATTTTTTTTTATTTTGAAAATCACTTCTTTATTTCAAATTTGATGTATATTTTTCGAAACGCTTGAGACAAAATAGAAAAATAACATGCCGATTTCTGTCTATATACTCTGCGTTATAGTTTGTGTTATTGGTAGAAATATTCCGAAACGGAGTTACATCTTCTGTCTGAAATTAGTTTACTTCCCTTTTATTCTTGAAGTAATGGTGAGTACATTTTGATGGAGATTAGACCATGTGACATCAATATATGTATAACAGTAAGGAATTAGTATCACAAATAATTTATCAAAGTGACATTTTGGTTCGGTTAGATGTACACGTTTGTATGAACATGTCAACACACTGATAAAAACCGAGGTCTTCTTGGTGGTTCATTCTGAAAAAGAAATGAGAAAGTTCTGAAACGTCTCCCGTCGTGCTTCACACGTCGATCATCTGTTTTTCCCACTCTGTTATATAAAAAGTAATTGTTTATTGTAAATGGTCATGATGCAGATTCCGAACAACGACTCAATCCTCGCCATTAACGAGTTAATTACTAGGATTGACGTTACAACAACAGGTTACAAAATTGATTTATTGTCATGTTTAAACATTAACGTGTTGCTATTAAAGGCATTCCTGAGATTACCACCGAGTTTCACATGGATTTACCGCACTGGATCTCCGTCGTATGTTATCTTATAAACTTTCCATAATAGTGTTCATTTGCTTAATCGCCACTCAATGTATTACACAAATGAACGAAAACGGACGAAGAAAAAATCCATTATCAATTTCTTCGGGTAGTAATCTTATAGTTCGATTGACAGGGGGTTCCTGAGGGGAACCCATCGTTTATAATGGTAAATAATATAAAAACTTCCGTGTAGAAATTTTTTTTTTTTTTTTTTTGAAAATTTGATTGACATTTGTGCTCCTCAACACCGATAGTAGCAGTCTCTCTATATGTTCTGGAGATCAAACAAGTCTATAAATCTGTTATCGTTAACACATATTTTCACGAATAAGTACCAATTTGTCAAAACCAGATCAGAACATTGTCGTGATAAGAGGTACGTACCTATGGTACCCATGGAGTGTAGCACGTGGAACCCCGAGAACGGACCCCACGTGTACTGAAAAGGTTTACACGATGTGTCTTAGACACGGATGTTCTGGTTGTCTTGTATTTTATATAGAAAATCTGCAGCACACGGTGCCCATAACAAAATATTTTCAAGGTTTAGGAGGGCCTGTTGAGGAGGGGTGGGGGTCGAGAGGGAAGGGTGTAAGTCCGATCTATATATATATATGTTGGGGATATGGCCACTGTATATTGTAGATCTACCATACAACTTATGGAATCTGATAAACTAGATATTATAAAGCTTGGCGCCGTGCTCTATGATAATGTGGCCGGACTCGTGTGTAGATAAACACGCCATTGGTTTATTATCGTCACCAATAACACGTTCTCTTGTAGATTAGATTCGGTCGTCTCTCACATATCTTATCACTAAGCACTGAACAATAAGTGCATTGTGTTTCTGTTTAGTTGACAAGATTTTCGTGTCGCTCCGGACAAATCTTAGAGTTGAGAAAAAGTGGACACGTGCATGTGAAAGATATGACAATGTTTACTTACAATGATATATCTCTGTCGTCGAGTTTTATCTGAAATGGTCGGTGGTAACCCTGTGAGGAAGAGTCAATATGAACGCGAGACAATTATGTATGTCGTACTCGTCACGTGACGAGTAACGTAAAAGGAGTTTGAGGGGTTAAATGACAAGGAAGCGTGAGGGAGAATTAGAAGGGTGTATGATGAGAAAGAGTGACGAGGGATTTGGAAAAGAGTGTGACTGGGTATTATGCTGAGGGATTGTGGCAGTAGAGTGACGGAGTATTATGGTAAGGGACTGTGGCAGGAGTGCGACAGGGTATTATGGTGAGATACTGTGGCAGTAGAGTGACGGGGTATTATGGTGAGGGACTGTGGCAATAGAGTGACGGGGTATTATGGTGAGATACTGTGGCAGTAGAGTGACGGGGTATTATGGTGAGGTACTGTGGCAGGAGTGTGACGGGGTATTATGGTGAGGGACTGTGGCAATAGAGTGACGGGGTATTATGGTGAGGTACTGTGGCAATAGAGTGACGGGGTATTATGGTGAGGGACTGTGGCAGGAGTGTGACGGGGTATTATGGTGAGGGACTGTGGCAATAGAGTGACGGGGTATTATGGTGAGGGACTGTGGCAAGAGTGTAACAGGGTATTATTGTGAGGGACTGTGGCAGGATTTTGAAGGGAAGTGTAACATAAGTGTGACGAAGGAGGATGACGTAAGAGCTTGACAACAGTGTGACTATAGAATATATCATGATGTGACGATTGAATGTGACGAGAAAAACTGGCAGGAGTGTGACGGGGGAAAATGGCGAGGGAATGTGATAATGCGTGGCAGAAGAGTATGATAAGGGACTTTGACGGAGTGTGACAACAGCTAGTGTGACGTGTGGTAACAAGTGTTTTGAGGGAATGTGACAGGGCTGTGACGAGGGAATTTGACCAGAGAGTATGACTAGGGAGTACAAGAAGATTGTGACAAGGGAATGTGGGAGGAGCATGACAAGGTAACCTACACGAAGAGAACATATATGTGATGGGACGGTTTATGTAAGGCTGGAAGATAATCTGTATAGATCGATGTTGTTACGTGGACTGAAGGGACATTGTTTATCTTTCTCATTGATCTCTGAGCATTACTCCGTTATACATTATACGGGCTGTTCGAACCTACATTAGATAG